GTTTTTAAAATTCAAATGTACCAGCTAAATGAATTTATAAAATTGAATTTGGAATTCTTAACCCAATAGGAGATATTTCAGATCAAAGTGGTCAGTGCGACAAAACGCTAATTTCATATGTAAGGACCCAATATGAACGAAGCTTAACACAAATTAGATAAAATATATCCGAAAATCGCTGAAAAACGTGTGACTACCAATTACTCTGACAGAAGAATCCAAAAATATAGTTGTCATATCAAATCAAATACTAAAAATAAAATATCTAATTGAAAATAAAATAATATGGTAGGTACATTTACAAAAAGATAGTAGTAGGTAGTAGAAGTATTGTTACCAATATCTAACATAGTATAAACAAAAGAAAACTAAGCGCTAGTAAATTATGTAGAACATGATAAAATCTCATTAAGTTTTGATTTAGAAAAATAAAATTTCCTATGGAGACTAAATTATTAGAACTTAAAAAAATGCAATAATACTGCTATAAAAAAGTGAACAACTTATGACTACAGTACAGACAATATTCTTCTATGCTACAGATATGTACGACCATGAAGATGTGGGGCTATAAACATTTAATGTAAATATAAGTGTATTAATAATATAAAAAAGGGAATACAAAAATAAAGGATATCAAGGAATACCATAATATGTAAATTAAGCCAGTTATTTTTAGCAATTAAATGGCAGGAGCTTTTAGGATCCTCTTTCAGCACCACCACACCATCTTGATTGCGCGCAGAAGTCTCATATAGAATTTTTGTGCTTGATGGACTTTGATGTGTTTGAATGGGTTTCTTTACAGTATTAGTAACACTGCTGTTAGAAGCCATGCTAAGTAAGATTTGCTGGCGAAAATCAACAGGAATTTTTTTAGTGAGAGTATCAATCTCCTCTTCAGTGGAGATCTTTGCCCGTTCGTTATTGGGAAGTTTGATAAAAATTGTCTCATATAAGGTTCACACATTCGTCATTTCAAAATTCTTGCGTGCTTTTTAAGAACAGATTACCTCTTTTTTGTTAAAAACTCAGACACAGATATTTGAGAGCCCTTTAACGTAGTTTTAGCTTTCTATACCTCAGACTTAGTGTGGTACTCTTGAAATTGTACAAGAATTGAATGTGAATGACCATCTTTTTGAACAATTCAATAGAAACGTAATAAAGATACATTTGTAACATGTGGGATACCCATTTTCTTATGTAAGATACCCAGTATTTCTTGTTCAATATTAAGTTCTGGAGAGTCAGAGATCCCTAGTAGTTCTTAATCTTAATTCTGTCTGTGCTACATATCAATAGCATCAATAGACTTAGTGCAGGCTTGAATTTGTTGCCGAAAAAGATTGAGCTTGGAGCAAATAAGCCCCCCCACGGTGTGGATTAAGAGAGGGATTAGTAGGTGTAGAAGCAGCCTTTAATCTGTTTCCAAATTCAGCCATGTTGCGACTCCAGCTTCCTTAAAATTCTCTCTGCATGACCTCCACATCAGTTACTTTTGCCATTGTTTGCAATATTTGCTGTGATATTAGTGAACACAAAGTGAAGTAATAATGAGTGATATAGTTTGCAAAAACAAAGTTACACTAATGGGTGGTATGAGAATGTCACAAATATTTTATCTCGACATATATTTATTTCAATATGACTTCAAAAGAAAAGGTAATAAAGATGTAATTGATATGAAAATATAGTTCAAACACTGGCTTAAAATAATTTAAATGTAAATAAAATTTAAGAGCCAATTAGTCAAATGTTACTTTTTACACACCTACCCACAAAAAAAGAACATGTATTTATTATCATAACATAATTTATTTATTATCATTTAAGTTTGCCAATTTTTAAGGAAATATAAAATTCTATATTTTTATGAATTTTCTCTAAAGAAAAATAACCTAAAGCAACGGTTTCATAATCACAAGTTTTAGAGTTGGACATACATAGTAGCAAAATTTATGGCATCTACACATCAACTTTCGAATATGCAAAAATAACCAAGCCGCTGAGTGCCTTCTTTCTAATAAAAACCACAGGCGGTAATGATACCAACAGAATGTTAAGCGTTTTCGCAAATTTAAGTAGAACCATGTGTCATGGTAACCTAGATAACGGATTTTAAAAGATCCAAACTACTTTGGATTTGTATGTTAAATAGGTTTTCTATTATAAAACTGGAAGCATTCCATTTGAATTTATTTAGCAAATTAGTACCTTTATAAAAATATTAATTGCAAACAAGATGCACAGTACAAGTACATTCCGAAATAATATTGAATAGTATTATATATAAGATTGTATATATATATATATATATATATATATATATATATATATATATATTTAAAAGTTGAATCCTAAAAACGTTATTCAAAATAAAGAACCATGTTATGAGGGTTCTTTTTGACTAAAATAAAAATTTAATTAAGAATAGATGGATAAAATAAAATAACAATGCTATTTACATTAAATTTTTGAAAAAAATAAATAAATGTAAAAGTAAATTAATCGTTAAAAGCAAGTAAAATCACCTTATCGATTACTTTTACCAAAGATCTTCCCATTCACATCATTAACAATACAAGTGTGACATAATTCCCGCTAATTTCATTGTCATTCTCGCATTCTCCATTGCCATTTTTTGAAGTCAATACGTGCAGGGAGTACGTAAGTACGTGTGAAATATATGTAAGTGTAAATATTTGAAAGCAAGATGGACAAAATAAATAATGTGTTAACAAGTACAAATTTAGGTTTCAATGAAGATTGTGAAGTCTTTTCAGATTAGTGGAATAAAAGTTATTAAAATGACCCTAAATTTTAGGTAACTACTTTAAAAGATTAGTGAATAAGACAAGTTTTTCGTTATAAGGTTAAATGTCCATCCGTTAAATAATTATGAATTTTTATATCTGTGGTGATAAAATTGATCGCAACATCGTAGCAATTAAAATACTTACTAACGTGTTCATTGTGTTATTTATGAACATCTTTTTAATACAAGTTGGAACTACTTGCAAAGGTTTCAATTACAAATTGCGGTTAGGTACAAGTAGTAGGCTATATACAGTAAAATGATTATGTATTACTCTCGTTCGTTAATAATGTACTGTCGTTTTGTAGTCATTTTACTGGTCACATCATTCGTCATTCAACTAGAATTATTTTAGTTTCAGATATCATAGTAAATACATCAGAATGTAGCCCAAGCAAGTTAACTCCACCCGGACAGCTACCTTCAATCATTTTCGCCGAATTCCCGTCTCAGTCAAGCAGAGCTTCAAAACCGTTAGTATCTGCAATAAGAGCAGTGAGTGCGCACAGTTTCATGCATTGCTACCTCATCAAACTCACCTGCTGTCGCCAGCTCAGGTAACTTGTTGAAAAAGGAGTGCACTGAACTCCAAGAATTTTCATCTCAAAACCTGTTCTGTACTGCAGGAACCGATGATTATTTAAACTAGAGAGAAAAGCATAGAAGCACCGCTTTTTTTCTTTTAACGCCTCTACTGACTAAAGCCAATTTGTTGCTAAACTCTTCCATTGGTGACATATATGACATTGGAATTTATTACGATGTAGTTTTTTTTTTCTATAAACGCCAGCTATGCATGTGCAATTTGGGAGTACAGACGGGAACTAACGGTCAAGCGTATTCACACGTAACGTGTGTGTGGAAGGAGAAGCGGGCCAGGGTTCGCATGAAGTAGATTCTTGCCTTCTTAAGCATACGTTTTAAAACCTAAAGCCAAATATAAAGAAATTAATACTATAACAGAATCGAAATATTAAATTAGTACTAGTTTTAAAAGCCCTACTGAATGATTTTTGGAAGAAATCAGGTTCCAGTTTTTGGAGTCAGGACACAGTTTCCTTCCAAATGATAAAGATTTTACGACAATAGAATGCACTTTAAAGCTGCACCAAGGAATCTACTTATCTGAAGATGTGACGACGTGTGAAAACGTGCATATTATAATGAAACACTGTAAGAAGAATAAGCTATTGCAAGTGTATCGAATGGATAAAACAGATTTTGTAACATTTTCTGAGCTGGAAAGTATTATTCTGAATAGAAAAAGAGCAGTTGACGGAACAAAGGTCTCATGGTTAAAAGCGAAAGAGATTATTTTAAAGAATAATGAGATTTTTACCATATAAATGGGATCAAGCTAAGAAGAATTTAAAGAAGTGAATATCAAAAAATTGCTCGTGGTAGACGAAAAAATCTTACTAAAACCTATATGGCCTACTGGCAAAGCAAAACTAGGTCCTATATTAAAGGAACCGAAAAGTCTGCTTTATCTTATTCCACAAGATGCAAAAGGCTTTTACCAGAAGTTACCAGCAGAAATGATGATCTATTAAATGACTAAGATGGATTTTCGGGTAAAGTTGATTTCGAATTTGAAACAGATACTATCCAGTATGATCAAGGAGAAAACTGATTCTTGTAATATAACTGCTTTTTTTACTTTTAATAAAATGCCCTTAATATTCTTATAGTCGTTTTACTGCCTCGACTTAAAAAATAAAAGATTTATCCCACATTTTTAATATTGTAAAAAAGATCCTCAGAGGTTTACACTGAAAGAAAGTAAATTTATTTACTTGAAACATATTAAAATAATACTGAAAGGAATTAGTTAAAAATACCCGATATTTAAGAGTAATTTTAAAATATACTAAATACGGTTTTGTTATTTTGGTATTAGAATTTTACTAAAATTCCTATTTTCTCAAAAGTAAAATTTTGTGGCCGGATCCATTTTACATAACTACATCAAATTAATAGGTAATTGGCAGTTTACATGAAGGTTTAAAGGAGATCAAAAATAAATAAGGAAGAACATGTTTACATTATCAGTTCATTTTTTTTGCTCCGTAGCGTACGGTCGCGCTTACCATTTGCACCGATTAGTGCAACCGGTGCAATTTAGCCAGTGCTTCTCAAACTTTTCTATATCTGAGCTTATAAGTTGTTAATACCTGTCGCCATGGATACTCATAATTGTGGTGCATGTGGGGAGTTGTTATCAGAAGGTCCTCACTGCACTGTGTGTAATCAAGAGCTACATTTTCATTGTGCTGGAATAACCGAAGCTGGCTATTGCAAGCTGGGAGGTAGAAAGTCTACCTGGCGATGTGTCAAGTGGAAGCAAACTCACTCTATTCAGCCTCTTTTATCACCAAGGATTGAATCCGATGCACTAATACTTAAGGAGACAAGAACTCTCTCTGATAAACTGGTGCCATTAGAATACCTTAAAGATGAAGTCATTGCCTTGAGATTTAAGAACAGTAAATTCAGATAATTTACTGTTCTTAAATCTTCACTAAATAATACTAATTTGGTGCTAAAAGAATTTAATGACAAAATTAAGGACTTCAAACAGCGTCTAGTACAGGTCGAGAAAGTACAAAAACATGCTAACCTAATTCAGACACGGTTAGAAAAACTGGAGCAGGAGTCAAACTCTGCGGAGCAATGGTCAAGAATGAATAATGTAGCAATAAAGGGAGTACCTCAGACAAGCGGTGAAAATTTATTTGAAATCATATCCAAAATTGGGTCTAAGATACAATATCCGATTACAAAGACTCAGGTTAATTTCGTCACAAGAGTACCAACCTGTGAGCGGGAGCACAAGAAACCGATAATAATCTGTTTCTGCAATCGCTATGTGAAGGAAGATTTTGTGGCGGCAGCCAGATATGCATCGAAGACTAGTCATCCCACATCAAGCAACTTGGGATTTGTGGACAACAATAGGATTTACATCAACGACCACCTAACCGTGCACAATAAAACCTTACTCTCTAAAACAAAAATTGCAGCGGTTGAAATGAATTTTCGCTATGGCTGGGTCAAGCATGCCAAGATACATGTAAGAAAAATCGATAAATCGCATATAATTATGGTGAAGTCAGAAAGAGACCTTTCAAAAATAGTGTGATGTCAAACTTATTATCTTTTTACTCTATTATTATTATTCATAATGTTAAACTTACTATTTGTGTAATGTTAAACTTATTATCTCGAAAAACTTATTATTCTTCGAGATAATAAGTTTGAAAGCTTTGAATCCTACTTGTATATTGATAAAGTCGAATCTTCCATAACTAGTAACCCAAAAATTTTCTGGTCTTTTATATAAGGTAGGAATAATGCATATACTACTCCTACTGTAATATATTACGAAGAATATTCTGCGAACACTGGTGAAGGAATTAGTAACTTGTGGGCTAAATATTTTAGTACTACGTTCGTTAAACCAGAATTGGAAATTTCGGATCCTAAATTATTTCCTATAACTGATTATAATATTAACGGTATTAGCTCAATACACATCTCAGAAAAAGGTATCTTAAAGCTATTACAAGGCCTCGACATCTCTATATCTGGTGGCCCCGACCACATACCACCAATATTTATCATAAATTGTGCGGAAAGCTTAGTCAAACCTATTAGTATAATATTTAAGCGGTCTTTAACAGAAGGAATAGTTCCACAAGTTTGGAAATCTGCCTTCATAACACCGGTATTTAAAAAAGGCGATAAGTCAAGTGTCGGAAATTATAGTCGCATCTCGAAGTTATGCCTGTTCTCTAAAATTCTTGAAGTAATCGTTTATAATGAAGTCTATTATGCAGTACAAAACTGTTTGGGTGAAGAACAACATGGGTTTCTTCGAAAGCATTCAACCACTTGTAATCTTATTTCGGCCAATGAATTCATCACTAAAGGCATGAAGCAGCGTGCACAGGTAGACGTAATTTACACAGATTATAACAAGTGTTTTGATCGTATAAACCATCGTGTCCTTTTACAAAAGCTATAAGCTGCGGGAATACACGGTGACTTGTATAGATGGTTTTGTTCGTATATAGACAATCCGTCACAGGCTGTAGTTTGGCGTGGTTACATCTCTAGTTGGTGCATAATTCCATATAGTGTTCCTCAGGGTTCATTTTCACCCCCTCATTTGCAATATTTATTGCTGTATTAAGTCATAAAAACAAACGTATTAGAAACACCCCACGTAAAATACAAAAAAAAAAAAAAAAAAAAAAAAACAACAAGTTTTTGAAAATTATCTTATACTACTTTACGCCGATGACATGAAAATTCTTAAAACTATTCATAATCTAACAGAAGTTAAACAACTTCAAGAAGACCTAAACAGGTTTTCTGATTACTGTAAACTCAATAAGCTTCAATTGAATCTCCAAATATTCTCATATAAAATTCACACGACAAAGATATAGAACTGGATTCGGTTATACTCTTAATAATCAGACTATTAGCATGGTAAATCATATTCATGATCTCGGCGTAATATATGATAGTAAATTGGTATTCGACAAACACATTGAATATATCGTCAACAAAGCATCCAAGGCTATTGGTTTCATTTTAAGAACTTCAGACTGCTTCCGCTCTCTTAAAGCTATTAAGATTTTATATTGCTCGTATGTGCGTAGCCATTTAGAATATGCGTCCCAAGTATGGAACCCACAGTATAAAGTTTACATAGTTCGTATTGAAAGTATACAGAAAAAAATTTCTGAGATATCTCGACTTTAAGGCACAAAAAAAAACTCAGCGAATTATCTTGAAAGATGTAGGAGATGTCATTTTTTGCCGTTGGAATATAGACGTAAAGTCAATGATATTTGTTTCCTAGTTAATATAATAAATGGATCTATTGATTCTTCTGAGCTACTTACTCACAGAATGATTCGGACCAATTTAATGAGATTTAGACAGCGACCCTTGCTATATATACCTCTTGCTTCAACGAATTATAGAAGAAATTCTTTCTTTCTGCATAGTGCAATGGAATTTAATAAGCTTTCATCTGTAGTAGATATTGACCTATTTTCCACGAGTTCGAAATCTGTAAAAAAAGTGATGAACAGAGAATTTTTCATTCGCAGCCGCGACTAGCATAACTCAAGTTGCTCATTGACAATTTTTTTTTTTGGTTAATGTTTTTGCATTTTTTTTTGTTATTGTTTTTGTAATAGTTTATTCCCTAAATTATTTTTAGGGAATAAACTATTCCCTAAAGTATTTAAGTATTCCCTAAAGTATTTTTAAACTTATATAAAGTTGGAAGAAAGTAATATGTGGAGGCTTGTAATTAACAATTTTTATCGCCATTTTGTAACATTACAAAGATATTAGTCTGTAAGCCTTCCTAAAATAAATAAATAAATAAATAAATAAATTATATTTTCATTGCATAAAATTATTTTTACGAATTTAATCGCTCTATTTACAGTAGAATCGCCTCAGGTATCGTAGATGCATTTTACATATATAAATTTTACAAGGACAAACTACGGTCCTAGTACACCATTTTATCTGTTTAGGTTCTCTACAACCACATTCTAATTTATAACAAGTTACAAACATTGTTTTCAATGGTTATCTTATCGCTGCACACCTGGAAACCATGGTATTTAACTAAGAACTTGCGATAATTTACTTAACACTAACAGGTTTTCGATTAGCTTCAAATCCCCTTTGTTTGGCAGTATATTCTAATACGGGAGTCAGTTTCTCTGACTCTCAAGTTCCCTTTGTTTTCAACACTCCACGTATTCGAAACATATGGTTTTATTCATCATTCGTAATATATGCAGCAAAGGAGAAGAAGTTTGCTAATATATCTTCTTATTAATGGGAGAGAAGAAGTGCACAGTTTTTTCTTTATATTCTTCACTGATTAATCAATTAAAATTGCAGTCGATAATTATTATCGATAAAAATAGGTCTTGGCTGAATATATCATATAATATAGTATATTATAGTACTATTAAATATTCAGGTGATCACTCAATTGTATAATTTATGTTGCCGCAACTAACACTGAAGTTTTAGACGCATGATTAAACCGTATTTAGTAGATACGGGTTGGCATTAATTACCTTTTATAGACGCCCCTATAACTTAACATAATTTATAAGGTCAATTAATATATGTATAAGACCAGTGGTGTACGATAGTAATCGAAGTGACACTACGACAAGCTGCTCGTTTGAATCCGATATTCGACCACTGTCGTTAACCACTCTTAATACTAGTATTTTAAGTTTACTTGGAGTAAAAATGGAAGTTATCATTTCGGTTTTATTTAATGATTACTAGTATTCAACTAAAACCAAAATTAATAACTTTAAGACCAGTTAATATTATGATCTGCATATTATGTTATAATTACAATTACGTAAAGCTGTAAGAGATTGTGGTGACACTGTCGTCGGGCGATAATAACAAGCGAAAGGCACTGAAGCCTAATTCACGATATCAAAGTTCCGAATCACTGCGGTATGTACACGTAGGTATACATTGTTTATGTGGTCTTTCGTTACTGGCCGTATGAGAAAGTTTAAGGTCGATCAGTTTGCTACGATGAGGACTATGCACGAAATTTCTCTGTCTCCGTAATGAGGATATCCGCAATATTACCAGTCACCGACGTATAATAACGGTTAAGCTGAAGTGCCAATTTTTCGTTACGTAGCCACACAACCATCGACAACCAATATGAAAAAACGGTTTCGAGTGGCAGCCTAGTATCCAGAATCAAAGTGTAGTTCTATCTCCCACTAGATGACGTGACAGAGAGCCGATTGATACAGTTGGCTCAGGATCGTGCTTTAGTGATAATAGTGATGATATAAAAAACTACACTAAACATGAGAGTATTTACACTTATCTCAACCAGTTAGTAGGTACAAGAAGTACAAGAATATCAATTAGCTACTGTCACATATACAACTAAGGCAGTACCATCTCTTAACATGATGGCATTGAAACAGTTAGGCGAAGAAGAAGACTACGAGTTTTTTTTTTTTTTTTAAAAAGAGAACATAATGGGCCCAAAATCAACTACTTCCAACAAATCAATGGAATCCAAGGCTCAAACAGCATTAAACTATTCACGTACAGAGCCCCGCCACCATCTAAACATACTACTAATATAACTAGCATGGCTCTACCACAAAAAAGTATCAGAATTTTTTATATAGAAGAGGGGGCAAACGAGCATGCGGCTCACCGGATGTTAAGTAACTACCGCCGCCCATGATCAACCGCAACACCATACATGGATATCCCAGCAGTGAAGGTCCTGCAAAAACATTTTCAAATAAACAAATTAATCAATGGGAGCCATGACAATCAGGCTTAAAAATCTCATTAAAAGCAGGTGGATTTAATTTAAGAAATAATACCAAACATCTTAGTTAATTTAACAAAGATACAAAACACCATGATCGATATTGTTACCGATATTTATCGGGGGTATAAAGATGGATGGGACATACTTGGACTAATTCATCGTTACAGGAGTGAACATCGATAACTCTCCGTAATGTCCATCTCCCGCAGTGTAGATTTGCATCATCAAGTGATTACAACGTCATAAAGTTTAATATTTTCGGTTGATTCCTGCCACTTACTCCTAGCTGATAATGCATTAAGATATTCAGAATTCTAGTGATTCCAAACATCATTGACCTCCTTGGCGTCATATGCCAACGTGTTCTTTCGTCTTTTTCTGTTTCCACGATACTTAATTCAGGATCGCTGACCAGAAAGTGAGATAGAGTCAGGTAATTTATATCATTTGGATCTTCAGTGATAGCACAGAGTGGTCGGGAAATCAGGCAGGCTCCTAACTATGTTAGCAGTGTTGAGAACTCCTCGAAGATGAGTTTTCGTTTACCAATGCAGATGGTATTTAATGTTTTTCACAACCGATTCCCACAAACCTTCCGTACTAGGTAAACTAAACAAACACTGCTATGTATCCTTTAAAGGTCTTTATTCCTCAGCCTCTACTTGACTTTACGTCCACAAAACTTGAAAAAAAAAACCACCTCTGTTCGAATAAATGGTCTTGACAGATTTAGTCTTGCTTTAGGAAGATCGCTCATTAGCTGA